GGTCGCGACATCCATGCCGTTCAAGTCGGCAGCGGCGGCGACCGGCCACAGGTCGGCGTCCTCGGTCAGAAGCGTTGCGAGCGCGTCGAGGGCCTCGTCGCGGGCGCTGCTTGGCACTGCGTGAAGAAAGGCGAGCACATGGTCTGTCGCGTCGAGGCAGTGGACCACCTGCAGCACGATGGGTGGCAGCAGCCACGGCGAAGCCTCTGCCCGTGCACACTTGACGTTTGCCATACTAGTATAGAAATGATACGGATAGGATGGAACCGCTAAGAAAGAGATATATTGCTCCCTCGTTTTGATTGGCCAGGCTCCAAATACTGCGATGGGATAGGCGGAAACCTGTTTGGCATGAACAATTGACTGTACATTTGTATAGTATTAGCTTTACAACGAATAAATCTGCAGCTCCGGAAGACGCGCGCTGATGGCAATTTGTGTCAAGGATCGAGCGGTGCATCTTGTGCTTGGGCATCAATCGCAGCCTGCGAGCAGGCCTCAGACGGCGTGCCATTGGCCATGGCCTCGTCGACGCTCAAGAAGTCGTACTGGCGCACGCGGTCGACCGAAAGGACATCGGAGGCCAAGGACGCGAGGATGATCTTGTGCAGGTTGGTCGTTCGTCACGCGCCGAAAGGTAAGCTTGCTCATGCCCCAGCAGTACTCGCCGGCCACCTCTGGGTGATACAGAAGGACAGACGGCCTTGCCCGAGAGCGTTGGCTCGTTCACGAAGTCCTGGCGCGCAGCAAGGATCGTTTCGAGCTCGGGTTTGGTACTCTTGTCTGTTGCAAGGATCCAGTCGGTCTCAAAGTGGACTTGATGGAGGCCCTTGGCTTTGCCGACATAGCCCTCGACGAGTCGCCGGGTGACCTCGGGCACGTCCGTCACGGCGCCTTTATGCTCACTGGGCTCGATGGGCGCACAGTCTGCTCCAGTACCGGCGTCGGCATGCCCGGCTACTTGAGGCTGAGCAAGGTGACGCGTCTTGTACTGCTCCTTGGTGCGCTTGCTGCCGACCACGTGCTGTCTTTTTGCCGCGCTTGCCCTTCGCTTCGGCTTCATGACGTCCCGCTCTTCGTCGCACTTGCTCGCCGTCGGTGACGCCACTGGTGGCGCGTCCGTATCCAGGAACACCATGGACTGAATATCACCCGCTTGATAGCTGCACGGGTACGGGCCAAGGCATTTTTGCGTCAAGACCGTCGGGTGCATCTTGGGCTGGGCACCACCCCAGCCCTTGCTCATAATGGACGCCTTCAGCGCATCGGGTAGGCACTTGTTGTGTCCGCTGCTCGAGTCGAGTTCGACAAGCAACTGACGATCTGGAACGAGGACGTCGAAGCAGTCCATCAAGTCGACGAGCTGCAGGTATGTCTTCAATGTGGGAAACACCCGTGAAAATATCATGTGGGAAACGATGCTGGTGTGAAACAATGTGCGGAGGCAGACAAGCTCCGAGCCGCTGCAGTACCGGTGTGGCATTGCACCGTCGCGTGCAATCTACCCTCAGGCGAGCGCCGGTTATATACTTTATATATATTATACGCTAGGACGCGGAGCAAGGAACGATGAGGAGTGACCGCGTGACGCTGTCCTCGGGCGACGTTAAACGCGTTAAAGGCGATCGCGTGTATTCACCGTCGTGGTGAATTGTTAGGAACCGGAAACGGCGCGGTTACTATGATATGTGGGAAACGAACGTGAAAAAGAAAGATACGATATGTGTGAAATAGAGTTGGTGTAAAACGAATCACGGAGGCAGGAGCGCTCCAGCGGCATGCAAAAGCGAGCGCAAGCCTGTGTCCCATACACAAAGACGAGATGTGCGGTCATGGACTTGCCCATGTAGATGTTATTGGGCAGCGGATATGGGCACATTCGACATGTGGAAACTGCAATGCCCCCACCGCACCGGTGAGTATCCGGATTCCGGATACCTGCCACCGGGCATGTCATGTCAGTGCACTTGCCCCCTGCACTCACTCGTCCGTACAAATACCATTTCCAAC